CGACACTTTATCTTCATGATTTGTGAGTAACTTTGATTTTTTTTCTCGCAGCTCGGTCTGTGCAAATAATTTGTCTGGGAAATTACCACATTGGCTGCAAAACTTCAAGAATCTGACATTCCTGTGCGTCTCAAATTGTTTCACAACCTCTAAGGATCTATGTGCCTAATTCAGCTACATCTAATATTTACAGTGATGTGATGAAATTTTCAGAGGGCTTGAAGCCAACCAGTTCTCTGGTCAGATTCCTGATGAGCTTGGTAACTTGACTAATCTAGAATCATTGTAAGAACCCTTTGCTTCTTAACCATTGTTCAAAAATCTTTGCTTTTTTTTTTTTTGGAAATAAAGAAAAGTTTTTTGTTTATAATTGATCTCTTTTGAAACTGGATTATGCAGGCATCTAACGTCCAATCAATTTACTGGAAGCCTGCCTACTACTCTCGCTAGACTGGTGAACCTTAAGGATTTGTAAGTTGTTGCTCTACTTGGAAATGGAAATTTTCGAAAGCTTTTGCGTTTGTAACTTGAAATGCTCATCTTAGTAAGTTCTTGAGGACAGGGACACATTTTGCCAGGACGCACCTACATTGAACTGAAACCTGTTTGGTTTAGAGCTTTCGTGTTGAACCTAATACTTTGGCTGTGAATTGATTCGACACTTAAGAAATGCTCACCTCAGTTTATGAGGATATAGTCAAGAAAAGCTGTAAAGTAATCCAAGAAAATAAGTTTTACAAAGGTCTAAACTAGTTGTTTGTTTTCATAATGCAGTAGGATAAGTGACAATAACTTTAATGGTACGATCCCAGGATATATTGGCAAATGGTCTGGGCTAAGAAGGCTGTAAGCTTGTCCTTCACCACTTATTGTAATTTCTTATATAGTTTGGTGTTTCTGCACCGTCTAACGTTGTGTCGGTTATTATCAACAGACATCTATATGCAAGTGGACTGAAAGGACCTATTCCTGATGCACTCGCCCGCCTAGAAAATCTTGAGGACCTGTAATTAACTATTTTCAATAGATTAACAAAATTGACCATCAAACTAAGACTGATGTTTTAAATGTTATGTTGATATGCAGGAGAATTAGTGATACGACCGGGATAAACTCCTTTCCAAATATATCCAGCAAAGCCATCAAAACACTGTATTTATTTTCGAGTGATCTGTTTCTCATCTTAAGACTTGATTCTATCTAAAAATTTCAGACTAAAAGGCTTTGTTCCTGTTCCAGGACTTTGAGGAATGTGAATTTGTCAGGTTCGATTCCTTCGTACATCTGGGATATTCCAGAACTAATTATTCTGTAAGTTCTTTCTGCTCACAAGTGAAAAGACTTCGTAAGTTTGAAACTTGTCAGAACTAGCTAGTTACCTGATGAGGAATTTTTGTATGACTAGATGCATTTTTCTTTTATATGCTTATATTTACTAGACTACATCAGTCCTATGAGTATATACAGATTGTAATGGACTAATGGGTAAAGCACATGA